GGGCCCTGCCACAGACAGGGGCTGCTCCGGACAATCACAGCAGCCCGTGACTGCGGGGTACTTGGGCTCACCGTGGACAGCGGCTGCTCCGGATGCCAGACCTTGGCAGGCAGGGAACTGCTCCAGCCCCCACTGGTTAACGGTTAACCAGTTACCCTTTCACATCTCTACTGCTGATTTGGGTCATATCTTCCCTGTGGCTCCAAATCCAGGGGTGGGAAGCACTGGGGCTGTGTCTAGACTGGCAAATTTTTCCACAAAAGCAGCTGCTTTTGTGGAAAAACTTGCCAGCTGTCTACACTGGCTGCTTGAATTTCCGCAAAAACACTGTGCCCATCTAGACGCTCTTTTCCGCAAATGCTTTTAATGGAAAACATTTCCGTTAAGAGCATTTGCGGAAAATCATGCCAGTCTAGACGTAGCCTGGGTGTTTTGGGGAAGGACATTCCCCCTCCAGACCACAGGGTGGCGCTGTAGCCCCTCCCCCCAGCTGATCTCCTTGCGCTGCAGGTGTGACTGGCTATGGATCCCCAGGGGCAGCTGATCTTCCAGTCCTGGCTTCCCTGTGGGTCCTAAGTCCCACTGCCCAGGGAGGCACAGTGGAGCTGGGATTTGCAGGGGGGAGCCCAGCCCTCCCTTCAATTGCACAGGGGAGCCACCCCAGATTCAGTTGCACCCAAGCCCCTTGGGAGCAAGGAGGGTGGGCCAGAGTTACCCTGCTTAAGTGGGGGCTAAATTTTGGTCTGTGGTTGTGATGTGGCAGTCCCAGTAGGGGCGCAGCCACCTGGACAACGGGACTCCATATCTGACAAGCTCTCTGGAGACCCAGAGGTGCTGAACTAGGAGTGCGGGGGTGGGGAGTTGCTGCAGCACCCCCTGGCTTGAAGTGGTTTCCATTATATGGCCAGCTTACAGTCTGGTTCATTGGCTCTCCGCCCCTCTGTACAAATTGTTCCAGCCCCTGCGGAGACCTGGTGCCGGGACTCTGTTGACTTGATGCTGCTGAGATCTCCTCCCTATGCCCCGGAGCTACAGACAAGCTGCATAACAGGCTCCCTGGCTGTCCACGTGCCAGGGACGTTTCTGGAGCCAGAGGCCTCACAGGGATGGATCAGAGATGTGCCTGGCAAGTGTCTGCTTTGTGTGGGCCGGCAGGGTCTGAGAGAGAGCCTTGTCCACACAGCCTAGCTCAAATGGGAGTGACTCCAAGGGGTTCCCTGCTCCGCCTGAGCCTCCCGATCTCAGCCGGCACCATGGGCAAAGCGTTGTCTGCCAGCTGCAAAAACTTCCGTGCCGGGCAGGCAAAAAGCTGGCAGGGCACTGCACTGATCCGGTTGCTGGTGATGGAGAGGAACTGCAGCGCCCCCAGCTGGCCAGTCTCCATAGGGAAGAGGCAGAGGAGGTCATGGCTGAGGGCCAGGTGCCTGAGCCTCGGCAGTGGGGCAGAGACTCCAGCTCCTTGTGGGGCAGCACCAGCTCCTCTGCCCTGACAGAAGCGGGCGGGGTGGCGATACGGTTGTGCCCCAGCATCAGGCAGGGGAGCCATGCCAGGTGCTGGAAGCCAGGCCCCCGCCTCGAGGCAGTGGATGCCGTTGGAGTGCAGATCCAGCTGCCACAGCGCCAGCCCGCCAATGGGAGTCCCTCAAGCTTGCAGCAGAGCAGCTTCAGCCTGGAGGCTGCTCTCCCCCAATGCGTCCGGCGTGGTCCTGTCGTTCTGGATGCGGAGCTGGCAGAGATGGGGGGACGTAGAGCTTGGCTAGCTTGGTTTGGAGCACCAAAGCCTCCAGCGTCTGTAGATCCCGTGGGGACTCAAGGGCCAGCGTGTTGGAGCAGAAGCGGCTGGAGAGGTGCAGCTGGTACAGATTCTTCAAGGAGTAAAGCCAGGAGGGGATCGCGGTGAGGGTGGAGCCCTCTGAGCTGTTCCCGCAGGAAGGCCAAGGCCTTGGGCTCCATTGTGGCTGGGCAGTGGGACAGCTGCAGCTCAGACAGCACCTCCATCTGGGCCACCTTGGCGGAGAACCACCTCCCCCATGCACTCCAGCTGCAGCCCCTCCACGTCCCCCATCTCATAGCCTGGGACAGGGCTGGAAGGGCACAGAGCCTCAGCGCCAGCCGGCCCCAGGGGTCCCTTCTCACATGCCAGTGCAGCTCCTCTCAGTCCCCGCGAGGCTCCAGACTGCTCTGCAGCAGAGAGGAAGGTGGCCATCCTCCTGGAGCAGAGCGGCTCATACTGGTCAGTCATGTGCAGCAGGAAGGCCAAGTCGTTGTGGACATCGGGGATGGGTCTGAAGCCGCTCTCCTCGCTGGCCTGCTCAAAGGAGTACTCCCTGAGCGGCCTCCGGAGCAGCCAGTAGAGCGTGTAGACCCCTGCCAGCCCACAGAGCAGCACCAGGGCCAGGTAGCACAGAAGCAGCTTCTGCAGGATGTAGGCCAGGCTGTGGGTGCAGGAGAAGGTGGCGTGGCCAGCGAGGTCCCCTATGCCCGGCTGGCACACGTGCCTGAAAGCAATGGCGCCGGCAGAGCTGGAGGCATAGCCCAACACAGCCAAAAGCTTTGCCACCTTGAACACCGTCTGCCCCATGTAGACCCAGTAGAGGAGGCTGGCGGCTTCGGTGCGTGCCCGAAAGGTGCGGATCTTCTCAAAGAGTGCCTTGGCCTGCTCCCTGTCCTTCCGGTCCAGGATGGTGGTGCTTGAGGGAGCCTGGAAGCCAGCCCCATCCTGGGAGATCTGGGCAGGGCAGGGTGCCATCCGGCCAGGTTTGCTTTCCCAGGGCTGGCTGGCTGTCTCCGAGAGCGCCTTGGTTGTCCAAGGCGACTGGGAGCACTTCCGGAGGATGGAGAGGAACAGCTCGATTCTGGAGGAGGTCTTGGGGTTTATGAACCAGAAGTTGTTACAGACCATCAGGAGCAGCACGTGCAGGAGGGCCAGGTATGGGGAGTACTTGGAATGCCACGGCAGAGCCTGGTGGTAGCAGACCTGGCCAATGTACAGGTACTGCTGGTAGTCAAGGTTGGGTGGCCGTCCGCCGTTGGCAGCAGGAAGTTCCCGCCTGGTGCCGACCAGAGCAGCATGGAGTTCTGGGCCATCCGGAGGCCCTCACAGCCACACTGCTCCTGCCAGCAGGCAGGCACACCACCTGGTTTGTGGAAATCAGCAGGGTCCCTGCGATGAGGGAGATGGCCAACATTGCCAGGACCAAGTAGTCAGTGAAGACGTCCCACCAGGGCTTCAGAGTCCTGAACGGGGCCTGGCCGTTGCTCAGGGAGACTACTTCCATCAGGGAGAACATGGCTGGTGGGAGGGAAAGGATGAGGGTCAGTGGCTCAGAGAAAGGGTCCCTTCTCCCTGGCGTGGTCCTTGGGAGATCCTGACTAGGCCACAGACTCCCTCTGTGACTAAGGTCACAGCACGTCATTTCCCAGGCCTCAGTTTCCCCATCTGTAGAATGGAATAATGATCCTTCCTTTGCCTAGTTAGTGTGGGAGCTCTGTGGGCAGGGACTCTCCTGACGGGGTGTCTGTGCAGCACCCGCCCAACAATGCCTCTAGGGGCTACCATAATACACCTAATAGGGAAACAGCTGAAAGCATACAGAGACTTGAATATGGAGGTTCAAAGCTAACGAGGCCCTTCTGGAACAGCAGTTCTCAAACTTTAACATCCCAAGGACCCTCAAGGCCCACTCATCCCAGTCCCTGCCCCCACCTTTTTCTGCCTCTTCCCTCTCCTCTCCTCAGTGCCCCCTTCCCCCCCCACCTCCACACACACACTCCTTCCCTTCCGTCCTAGAGCCTCCTGCATGCTGGGAATCAGTGTTCCCTGGAGCCTAGGGGGCTCTGGAAGGAGTGGTTGGTGGAGCCCAGTTTGAGAACTGCTGTTCTAGGAGGCACTTTAGGGCCTGCCGGACAATGGAGCTGAGAACCCAGATCTCAGCACCCGCCCTTAATGGGGCCCTGTGACGAAGTGGGAATTGTTTGCTATATTGTGTGGCATAGGGGTGTCTCAGTTTCCCTCTGGACTTTGCACCACTAACCAGTGGGGAAAAGGGCCAGCCCACAAGCTATGTGTCCCCTTGCTGTGTGGGGTGGACTGAATGGCTCATTGAAGGACAAGCTGGGAACTGCCCCATATCAGTGGCACATCCAAGCAGACCGTTGGAACACCGCAGCCAGCACTAAGGATGTTACGGACTAGTCGACTATTCGTTAAGCAAATGCTTGTCGAATAGTCAGTCGACTATCGATTTCCCCCCTCTTGCCCCACTGCCTCTGTCAGACAGAGGCAGCAAAGGGACAGACAGGGGGTACTTCAAAGCGGCAGCACTGCACAGCTGAGCCCGGGATCAGCTGTGCAGTGCTGCCCCTTTGAATGCTGCCTCCGCGTTTCAAAGAGGCAGCACCGAGTGGAGCCCAGGGTCAACTGGACTCCCGAGCTGATCCCAGGCTCCACACGGCATTTCTGGCACTGAGTCCCCCGCTGACCCCGTGCTCCATGCGGCACTTCCTCTTTGAAATGCTCAGGAGCCCCCACTGGCATTTCAAAGCTGGCACCCACGTATGGCCCAGAGTCAGTGGGACTTCCCACTGGCCCCAGGCTGCATGCAGAGTTCCACAGGGGCTCTTGTACATTTCAAAGGAGGAATGTGGAAGTGCCTATCAAGTAGTTGATGGAAATTCCATCAACTACTCGACTAGTAAATTAACCGATATTGCACATCCTTAGCACAGCTAGCAACCATGGGGGAATTCCCCACTTCTCCACTTGCCAGTCCAAGGGCCTAGCTCAAGAACAAAGTCAGGTGGTGGGGGCACGTGCTGCTCCCTACAGAGAGTCAGGTCTGTCAGCGAGAGAACCTGAAATGGAGCCATGGCTGCTTGGCAGGAGGAAGGGTGCTGGCTTGGCAAGGTAGGGATTGTCCCCCCCCCCTCCCCCCGTGCTTTATGAAAATCAGCTTATGAATATGCATAACTCCAAGATGCTTTATACAAAATACATCATGTGATGTGCCATTTTAAAAGTTGTAATCTACGGTGTCTGTATATCCTATTTGTGTGCATGTATCTTCCTTGTAGTAAGTGGGAAATTTTTATTAGCCCATGTGTTCTAATAAAAGCCATTAGTGATACTTCAGGAACTTAATGGCTGGGTGATCAAGTCAACTACCTGTGAATGGTTTTGTTTTTCCTGTAAGCCCAAATTGAGGCTGATCCCAGAAAGCCTATGAGTAGGCCGCCTGTACTGGAATCCATCTTGAATGTGGTATTTTTCCATGGGGATGGGGCGACTGAACAAAGGGTTCCTACCCTGGGGAAAGTCTATTTAAGGAATGGAAAGCAATCAGGTTTTTGTCTTCAGCTGGCTTTTGAAATTACCTCCCACCCTCAGAGGATACTGATGAAGAACCCAAAACCAAACAACTCTAAAGACACAGAGAGCTGTAGGCACAGGCCAGAGAGAAGAATCAACTCTGTCCTGAAGCGTTTTACCTGAAAGAGGGACAAGGGGTGAGGAATATGCTTTGAAACAATTTACCTTAGGCTTTGTCTAGCCTACGGAGATTTTCCAAGATACCGGAGGTATCTCGGAAAAACTCCGCCACATCCAGGGTATGCGTCTGCTCTTCCAACATTTTTTGCAGAAGAGCAAACATGCTCTTTCGAAAGCCCTGTCTTCCTTGTTCCACGAGGAAGAAGGGCTCTTCTGAAAGAGGAGGTTTTGCCAAATTTGGCCCAGTGTAGACGGGCCAAATTTCGGAAAAGCCTCTTCTGACCAAACTGTCGGAAAAAGGTATGCAAATTGCAGAGCGCAATTTGCATACCTTTTTCTGAAGAAAAAGAAAAGTGTAGCGTAGACATAGCCAAAGTGTATTGGGCTTATTTGGCATGTTTTGGCTTAGTAACTTTCTTTGAGCTGACTGTTTTCACTTAAATCAGGGGTGGGGAACCTAAGGCCAGGGAGGCGGGTGGGATGTAGCTGCCAGCTAGCCTTGAGGCTCAGAGCCCCCCAACCAGCATTGAGGACCCTATGCTCGTGCTCCAGCCCTCCCTCTGCTGCCCCCCCCCCCCCAAAGGCTGGAGCACACAAAATCTCCTAACCAAGGGGAATGTGGGGCGTGTCTTTCCGCTTCAATCTGAGCTGTGTCAATGAGAGGGGTTTTTTATTTGTTTCTCACTTGTATGTGGTCTCTGACTAAGTTTTCTGTGGGTCAGCAGCTCTGGACCCAAAAAAGGTTCCCCCACCCCTAACATAAATCCTACCTTTTTGTACTTAATAAAAACACTTTTGTTTATTATCAAGCCCAGTGTAAATAATTGTTGCCTGGGAGGAGCAACCACTGGGCAGCTCTCTCTTACCAGCTTTCTTTGTGTAAAACTTTTCCAGAGTAAGATGAATTTGTTGGGGGGTTTGGTCCCTTTGGGGCTGTGTTCCTGGGTGCTGTCAACAGCCCTATAGCTGATCTGGTTCAGTGTCTGTGTTGCTCTTATCCCAACTCTGTGCTTTGGATGGGGGGACCAGAGCATTTGGCCCAGTGGGACAGGGTGGTGGGGCACCCCACAGGATAGGTGGCTCAGTGGCATGACCAGCACCCCGGGTGACAGCCCCAGTGGGACCCCTACGATCCAACCCATCACAGAGATGTCTTAACCTTTGCTTCTCTGTGCTCACTGAAGGATTTCTGTGCTGTGCTTCAGCTGAGTAATAGACCCGACTGTCTGCACAGGCCACCTGGAGTCACTGCAAGTCTTGCCAAGGTGCGCTGGGCCCTGAGGAGTGGGCAAGTCTCTGGCCAGGCATCTGTCCCAGTAGGGCAGAGTTCAGGAGGTGAGGCAGGAGAGCTGGAGACCTAGAGCTTGGTCTCAGAGATTGGGGGGAGGGTGACCTGAAGGAAGATTGGGATCCCTTGGGGGCTCTGCCACACTGAAGGATTCCTCCAAGGGACTGTTTAAAAGCTGTGGATCTAGGGCAGGCCAGGCCTGCAGTCCCTACAGCCAACTGGTAGAGTCAGAGCTGGGCCAGCTCCCCTTACTGACCATCTTGCTGCCGTAGCCCTTTGCTCTGCCACCTCTCCGGAGGATCCTGCCCCACAGAGAGGGATAAACCTGGCAGAAGGGCCGCTCTGCGGTTTGACTGCACGGGAGCGAGCGAGAGCAGGGGCCCCGCACTGAACGGATGCAGGAGAGGAGGGGTGAAACGCTGTGCTGTGGAGCTCCGTGTCTCCGGGCGGGAGTAGCTGTCACCTTCCCGGGACTGCTGTCACCAAGGGGATAAAGGACTCGCTGCCGCTGCTGGCTCTGAGAGCAGCTCCCTTAGCGCGTGAGGCCACAGCCGGGCTTTGTGATGCTGTGAGCTGAGGGGCTGAATCCCGGCTCTGCATGTGAATTAGTCTGTTCGCAGAAGGTGGCCGTGTGCAGGGTCTCCCTCTCGTGGGGCCCCTGAACCCAGGCAGCTCCTATCTCGGGAGCCCAGGCCAGCCTCAGGCAGCCAGGGGTGAAGGTGTTTCATCTCCCAGGCTCTGAGCTAATGCATGCTCCATCTCTCCATAGCAGGGCTGAGAAGGACGGATGGAGCCTTGGCAGGCTCCCTGTTAGACCTGCCATCTCCTCCCTTAGCACAAGCTCCCTTGCGGGCTGATTGCCCCCAGGCCGAGAGTGGAAAGCACGGACATCAGAAAGGCTGGATTGTCAATGGAACAGTTCAGTGGATCAGCACGGGCTTTCCCTGTAAGCCGAGCACTTGGGCAGCCCCCCAGGAGAGATTCAAATGCCGCCCAGCTGATTAGCAGCGCCCATAGCTGGCAGCAGGTTTCTACGGGTGGTGCACATCCACACGTGCCTCAGTGCACATAAGATTTATTCTGCTCATGGATGGAAAATATTAGAGGGAATGCTGGTCAGGACTCCTGGTTCTATCTGCCTTCTCTGAGAGGGAAGTGGGCTGTAATGGTTAGAGCAGGAGGGGGTGGGTATCAGGACTACAGCTGGGGTGGTTAGTGTTCCAAACCACATGAAGGGCAGTGGGGCTGAGAGGAGAACGGGCCGTTCTAACAATTCTTTCCCCTCTAATTAGATCCATGTGTAATGGATCCCAGGCCTGTG